GGGCAGGTCTCAGGAAGGCTGAGGGCAGTGAGAAGGGCAGGAGTCAGAACAGCAGAGGAGGGTGAAGGGTTGGGGGGCAGAAGGCACCAGGGGAGCTGATGGAGCAAGGGGAGGAGACATGGCAGCAGAGGGAAGAGGTTGAGGTTTATAAGATATTTATTAATAACTTGGGTGCCACAGTGACACATGCAAACAAGCCCCATGAACTCAGTACTGATTTTGTAATTTTGCATATCACAAAATTCATTCTGCTCATGGCAGGAAACTCTTAGAGGGACACTTCCCCCAGGCTCTCCGCCCCCCAAGTTAACGTCACACACGTTGGGCTAATGCAATTGCAGGATAGTTGCATGAGGGGGGGTTTGGTGGGGGTCAAAATAATCCCTATTGGTAGAAGGATGGTGGGAAAAGTCCTTGGGGGGGTGTGTGTGTCACATGACACCTTTTACTTTTGGTCATGTGTCCATCTTGCCCCGAGAGTGTTGCCTCCAGAGGCCTGGCTAATGGGGGTCAGAGAGTACATTTAAAAAAATTCTTTGGGTGCACACCCTACTGAAATGTGCTGCGCACGCCTATGACAGGAAGCGGCGGAGCATGGAACAGCAGGGCTGGGCCCTAGAGAGCCGAATGCACTGCCTGCAGCACAGTCTGAGGGAGGGGATCGGCTGCTGGGGTCTCTGGGAAGAGGAGGGGGAGGGGTGGAAGAGCAAGTCAGGCCTAGGGGCACCAGTTTAATAATCCCACGTAGAGCACCATAAATCCTCAGGACGGCCCTGAGCCCCAGGATAGAGGTGCTCTGTGTATACAGGGAGGGGATCGGCCCCCCACAATTTGGTGCTTGGCTTGTGCTGAGCGTGCTCAGTAACACTGGTAAAGCCTCTGTCCTCCGTCGTCCCTCCCCCCTGCGCCATGCTCTCACTCTCTCCTTCCCCCGCCCCGTCACAGCATGCACAGGTCTCCCCTCCTATCACAATCTGAAATGGCGCGCTGATTCCCCGTGGGGAGGGGACCCCGGGAGCAGGCACAAAGCCGGCTGGACAGCACATTCCTATAAAGTAGGAGCTTTCGACATTGCACCGGTACCACCCGCCCAGCGCTCTGTGTTCACACTGGCCAGTGGGACCCCCAGTGTCTCACAGTCGTGACAGTGACGCACCCAGGAGTGAACCCAGCCCCGTGTCCAGGCTCTACAAGGGCGAGTTCCCGCTGGGAATCGGGTTCTGAGCCCTGCGCACGATGCCCCTGAGGTGTCAGGCAGTGACAGACCCACACTCACACGCCCACACGGCCGGTGGGATGAACCCAACGCCCCTGGTCACAGAGGGGTGGAGCCCGCAGCCAGGGGGAGGGATCGGACTGTGGCCCAGGAGGGCGTCGGTGTGACGTGAGTTATTTCCTTCCCGGGCTGAGCTCCCCAACGAGCTGATGCCGCAGCCACAGGGCCGGTACCTCCCGCCCAGAGCTCTGTTCACACTGGCCAGTGGGACCCCGGCGTCTCACAGTCGTGACAGTGACGCACCCAGGAGTGAACCCAGCCCCGTGTCCAGGCTCTACAAGGGCGAGTTCCCGCTGGGAATCGGGTTCTGAGCCCTGCGCACAATGCCCTGAGCGTGTCAGGCAGTGACAGACCCACACTCACACGCCCACACGGCCGGTGGGATGAACCCAACGCCCCTGGTCACAGAGGGGTGGAGCCCACAGCCAGGGGAAGGATCGGACACTGGCCCAGGAGGGTGTGGGTGTGACGTGAGTTATTTCTTGCAGGCTGACACCGAGGAGAACGTTTGGACATTCGCCATGCCCAGGTCAGATGACACGATTGAGATGCCGACTCTGGGCCGCCCGTTCCAGCTGGGGATGCTGTATGACTGCTGCAATGACTCCCTCATTCCAGGTAACCCCAAGGCAGCCCTGAGCTCCGGCGGGAAAGAAGGGAAGGGCCACAGTCCGACCTGTCATCCCTGAGACTGAGCTGGGCTGGGGGTGGCCTGGGGATGGGTGCTAGGGGAACAGACCTGCGCACACCCCAACATCGGGGAGTGAGGTAAGTGGCTGGGGCGGAGGGGAACGTGCCCTGTGCGGGTGACCTGCTACTGTTTGTTCTAGGTCATAGTGACCAAAAACATCATGTGTTCCTGAGGAAATGGAACTACCTACTGCCCCCATGGGATGGGCTCTTTTCTCCGGATCTTTTCTCCGGAAGGCTACCCCCTGGTATCCTCGCCCACCAGCCAAGAGACTCCAAACACCCCTTCCCTGGCATTTAGTAACTTAATAACGTAAGTTACTTAACCCATAGACTCATAGGCTACGTCTGCATTGGCATCCCTTTCTGGAAAAGGGATGCTAATGATACGAGTCGGAATTGCAAATCCGCGGGGGATTTAAATATCCCCCACGGCATTTGCATTTACATGGCTGCTGCTTTTTTCTGGCTTTAAGCCGGAGAAAAGCACCAGTCTAGACGCGATTCTCCGGAAAATAAGCCCTTTTCCGGAGGATTTCTTATTCCTACTTTCATGTTGCCTGTCTACAAGAACAGTTGCGCAAGAGGGCTTATTCCTGAGTGGGAGCATCATAGTTCTTGCACAAGAAGTACTGATTTCATACCTTAGAACGTCAGTGTTCTTGTGCAAGAACTCCCCGCCGGCGTAGACAGGCAGCAAATTTTTGCGCAAAAGCGGCCACATTGTATGTCGTGGTTCAGGGCCACACTCAGCTGCTGAAATACAGGGGCTGAAAACAGCTCTGGGATTTACTGCAGCATCCAGTAGGGAGAAAACTTGTTCATCTTGGCCTCTGAGGACAGGACAAGAAGCAATGGGCTTAAACTGCAGCAAGGGGAGATATAGTTTGGACATTAGGAAAAACTTCGTAACTGTCAGGGTGGTCAAACACTGCAATAAATTGCCCAGGGAGCTTGTGGAATCCCCATCTGTGGAGATATTTAAGAGTAGGTTGGATAAATGTCTATCAGGGATGGTCTAGACAGTGCTGGGTCCTGCCATGGGGGCAGGACTCAATGACCTTTCGAGGTCCCTTCCAGTCCTAGTATTCTATCACTCTATGATTCTCAACACAGGCCCGTCCTTGGGATTCAGCATTTTCATTTTCTTGCTCTTGCTCTTGCTCTTGCTCTGCTTCCAAACCCCTCCCCCCCAGTTGTCTGGGAGGAATCCTTTTATAGGAACCTTGAGGCCTTAATTGGCAGCAGGTGCTTAATAAACCTCAGTTGCAACCTGACTGATAATTAGGCCTCTATTTTCTACACTGGCTGCTGGGCTGTGTTCAGGTGAGGCTAATTTGGAAACAAGAAAGCATTAACCCATCTCTCAATATGGCTTCCTTCTATCAGAGTTTTGCAGTTTGCAGGCTGTGGTCTGTCACACATCCTCCCCCCCACCCAACACCAGTGGGTTGGGAAACTTGGGAAGCCAAACCAGGGGTGGATGAGAGTCCCGCTGGGCCCAGGGCAGCACCGCGGGGCCCCGGGCAGCGAAATTTTGCAGGGCCCCTCCTTTGACACCGCGCATGCGCGGGGCCTCGGGAAGCGCGGGGCCCGGGGCAGCCGCCCCACTCGCCCTGCCCTAAATCTGCCACTGAGCCAGACAGTGCATGAGGGATAGCCCATCCGCATTCCCATGCTGAGTTCCAGCCCTGTGCTGCACCCTAAATTGGAAAGGTTGTAGGGATATGAACCACCAGGTGACCTAGCATTCTTTTCCCTATTCCTCTGCAGCCACTGCAGTGGGGCATGGTCCATCACCAATACAAAACGTCGCCCAAGGTGGTACTAGCGTAGCGCCTCCATGGCCCATTTTATGGCAAGGCACTCCCTCTCAACTACCGCGTACTTGTGTTCCCTTGGGAGCATTTTCCTGCTAAGATACAACACATTGGCTGCATCTAGACTGGCATGATTTTGCAGAAATGCTTTTAATGGAAAAGTTTTTCCGTTAAAAGTATTTCCGCAAAAGCACGTCTAGATTGGCACGGATGCTTTTGCGCAAAAAGTGCTTTTACGCAAAAGCATCCATGGCCAGTCTAGACGCGCTTTTGCACAAGAAAGCCCCGATCGCCATTTTAGCCATCAGGGCTTTTTTGTGCAAAACAGTTCTTCCCTGTCTACACTGGTCCTCTTGTGCAAGTATTCTTGTGCAAGAGGGCTTTTTCCCAAACGGGAGCGTGAAAGTTTTTGTGCAAGAAGCACTGATTTTGTACATTATAAAGTCAGTGCTCTTGTGCAAATTCAAGCAGCCAGTGTAGATAGCTGGCAAGTTTTTGCGCAAAAGCAGCCACTTTTGCGCAAAATCTTGCCAGTCTAGATGCACCCTGTGTGTTCTTCTTCCCCAGTTGTTTGTGATAAGAGTACCCTCAACCCCACATCCAATGCGTCTGTTTGTAGGATAAACTCTTTAGAGAAGTCTGGGGATATGAAAACCGGGTTGCTACAGAGAGCAGTCCAAAGGTCCACAAATGCGATCTCTGCTGCCTCGGACCATTTAACTGGGTCAGGCCCCCGGGCTGTCACCAACTCTGTCAGGGGGGTGGCCCATGTTGCAAAATGGGGAATAAATCATCAATAATGGCCCACTACTCCTAGAACTTGTTTCTTTTGTTTAGGCCACTGTTGGATGGCCTCTAATTTATTTAACTGGGGTTTTACCACCCCTTTTCCTACCACATATATGAGGTATTTAGCCTCCCTGAACCTCACGGCACATTTGGCTGGATTTACCGTGAGGCCAGCCCGCCTAAAGGAGTCTAAACCAGCCTCAACCCTCTTCAGGTGGGTGTCCCGATCCACTGGGTGGACAATGATGTCATCTAAGTGTAACCCCTCCTGTTTCTAGCCCAGTGTGAGGTTATTCAGCATAGGGGAAGCTTGTGACTTCTTACATCACTGTGGGGGGAGGGCTAGGCCTGAGGCTGCTTGGTGTGCTCTGCGTTGTGTGTGTGTGTGAGTGCACCTCAGACAGACCCACTCCGACAAATCACCAGGAACAGGCTTTATTCTGTAAAAAACATAGAAGAGGAAAACAGTTCAGCAGCCCCTTCTCTCAGCATGCAGCCTGTGTGCTGCTTCTAGCACAGTCCTTGCTGAGACCCTGATGGGGGCGGAGGGCACATCCTGGAAGGAACCAGGGAGTTCTCCCAACATGCCGCAGTTTGTAGTCCACAACTTGTAGTTCCCAGGGCTGCTGCTGAAACACACTGGACCTTGGGCTACATAAGTAAGCGGCAGATTAGGCAGCATGGGGCCGCAGCAGCTTGTCCATGAGGCGCTGAAAAGTGGCTGGTGCCCCATGGAGGCCGAACAGGAGGACTGTGTACTGAAACAGCCCCTCTAGGCTAGCAAAGGCCATCTTCTCCTTGATGTCCTCAGCCAATGGGATTTGCCAGTAGCCTTTTGTTAAGTCCAGGGTGGTCAGGTATGGTGCTCAGCCCAGGCAGTCTACCAGCTTGTCGATGCGTGGTATGGGATATGCATCAAACTGGGAGATCTCATTCAACCATTGGAAAACGTTACAAAAACGGGTGTCACAAAAGAGGGAGTTCTTGCTGCATGCTGAGCTTGTGTTTGGCTGTTTGGGTTTCTTTGGCTTTTTTCCTTTCCCTTTCCTCCTGTCCCCCTGCCAGGAGTGTGTGCTGTGGCTGGAAGGTGGAAGCTGTGAGCTTCAAATCAGGGTTTGAAATCTAGAAGCCTCTGCTCACTGGTTGAGCCTTAGTCCCTCCCTCTGATTATAAAGTCCAGGGCTTTATAAAGGAGTGAGTCAGCAACTAGGGAGCTTGTGAACAGGGAGTTTTGAGATGCCATTTGTAAGGGGAGTGGGTAGGGGGTGAGAGACACTCGCCATTATTTAAAATATTTCACTAAATTTCTGCTCTTCAAGGAGGCATTTAATTACAGCCGAGGAATCTCTCAGAGGAAAGGCAGGAATGGATGGGGATAGGTCTGTTGTTGTTACCTGCACAGCATGTGCCATGTTTGTCTGCTTCCTGGAAGAAAGAAGGGATTTCATCTGCACTAAGTGCAAGCTGGTCGCCATTTTGGAAGAAAAAATTAGAAGACTGGAGGCCCAAGTATTGACCCAATGTTCCATCAGAGGATGAAGAGCCAGAGAGGGCAGTACACGACAAGGAAGAGAACTGGCAGCACGTAACCTCTGGAAGAAGAAGGCCAACTCAGGTATCCCCCATTCCTGTAGAGGTAAGTAACTGCTTTCAGGCTCTCTGCACAGGCACTGCGGTGGAGGATGCGTTGGCAGGGACCTCTCAGGGAGGAAATCAGAAGGGAGCACCATCTACCATAAGGCATGGGATGTGTAGGTCTACGAATGGGGGCTCCATGACCACCACCCCCAGAAGAAGAAGACGGGTTGTGGTTGTCGGGGATTCCCACCTGAGAAGGACTGAGTCATCCATCAGCTGTCCAGACCTGGAATCTCGAAGTGTGCTGCTTACCTGGAGCTCGCATTCAGGATGTCACCAAGAGTCTTCCAAAACTGATCAAACCTTCAGATTGCGATGCCTTCCTGCTTCTCCATGTAGGAACTAACGATACGGCCAAGAATGACCTTGAGTGGGTCACAGCAGATAATGTAGGATTGGGAAGAAGGATCAAGGAATTTGAAGTGCAAGTGGTCTTTGGGAAACAAACAGGAAGAATTAGAATCCCTGGCCTAGTCAAAGAACTATGATTTGACTGGAATAACGGAGACTTGGTGGGATGAACCACCTGATAAGTATTTTATACAAGAAACAGAAAACCATCAAGAATGACATTTCTAACTTAGATCGTCTCATCTCAAGACAAACATCCACACCGACTGACACCTTGCAAGACTTTTGTTCCACCAGACAAGAAATCTACTATACACACTTCTATTCCCTACAACAAAGAAAAGACAATAAACTTTCTAACCTGCTCCATACCACAGGCTACAACAGCAACTACCTCAACCCACCGGATAATATTGTTAACCTCTCCAGCTACAAACTCAATCCAGCAGAAGAGTCTGTCTTGTCCCGGGGTCTCTCTTTCTGCCCCACGTCCCCCACAAACTGGATACAATTTTTCCTGTCTGATCAATCTGGTCAGCTTCTATGATGAGGTAACTGGCTCTGTGGATATACCTTGACTTTAGCAAGGCTTTTGATATGGTTACCCACAATATTCTTGCCAGCAAGTTAAGGGAATATGGACTGGATAACTGGACAGTAAGACGGATAGAAAGCTGGCAGTGATCGACGGCTCGATGTCAGGATGGTGATCTGTTTCTAGCGGAGTGCCCCAAGGATCTGTTCTAGGGCCAGTTTTGTTCAACATCTTTACTAATGACCCGAATGAGGGGATGTATTGAACCCTCAGCAAGTTTGCAAATTACACTAAACTAGGGAGAGAGGTAGATACGCTGGAGGGCAGGGATAGAATCCATAGTGACCTGGCTAGATTAGAGGATTGGGCCAAAAGAAATCTGATGAGGTTCAACAAGGACAAGTGCAGAGTCCTGCCCTTGGGACGGAAGAATCCCAAGCATTGTTACAGGCTGGGGACCGACTGGCTAAGTAGCAGTTGGGCAGAAAAAAACCTGGGGGTTACAGGGGATGAGAAGCTGGAGATGAGTCAACAGGGAGCCCTTGTAGCCAAGAAGGCTAATGGCATATTAGGGTGCATTAAGAGGAGCATTGCCAGCAGATCTAGATCTTTGATTATTCCCCTTTTATTCAGCCCTGGTGAGGCCACATCTGGAGTATTGTCTCCAGTTCTGGGCCCTCCCCACTACAGAAAGGCTGTGGACGCATTGAAGAGGGTCCAGCGGAGGGCAACCAAAATGATTAGGGGCCTGGAGCACATGACCTATGAGGAGAGGCTGCAGGATTTGGAACCTGAAGGGAGGTCCCAAAGAGGCTGGAGAGAGGCTGTTCTCAGTAGTGACAGATGGCAGAACAAGGAGCAATGGGCTCAAGTTGCAGTGAGGGAGGTCTAGGTTATATATCAGGAAAAACTATTTCCCTAGGAGGGTGGTGAAGCACTGGAACGGGTTACCCAAGGAGATGATGGAATCTCCATCCCTAGAAGTTTTTAAGTCTCGGCTTGACGAAGCTCTGGCTGGGTTGATTTAATCGTGATTGGTCCTACTTTGGGCAGGGAGCTGGAGTTGATGATCTCCTGTGGTCCCTTCCAGCCCTATGATTCTATGTAGCAGAGAGAGATGGAGTTGGTCTCCGTTTATGTGAGACTGTTAAACATCCAGTAATCTATGTTTCACCTCACATGGACACGATACCAGAAGCCTGTTACTAGATCTGACACTTTGTTCAGGGACACTCAGCTCTTATTGCGATGTTAGAAAACACCTGGCAGTTACAGAACAGGAAGGTCTCTTACCCTCTCTGCCACTGACCATGTGTCCGTCTCTCCTGTTCTAGGCATCACTTTATGGGACCTGGAGACGCTTCGAAATGATATAGATGCAAAGCCGCAGTCCAAGACTGAATTTCAGATTGTTGCATCTGACTCCATTGAAGACAAGGCCTCTGCCCTGAATGTCACAGCATCGCTGAAGGCCAGTTTCCTGTGTGGCCTGGTGGAAGTGAGTGGCTCCGCAGAGTATTTGAATGATACCAAGATGTCAAAGCAGCAAGCCCGCGTTTCTCTCCAGTACTCAACTACGACACAGTTTAAGCAGCTGACTATGAGCCATATAGGTCGCCAGAATGTTTCTTACCCTGATGTGTTTGACCAAGGCACGGCCACCCACGTGGTCACGGCTGTGCTGTACGGGGCACAGGCGATTTTTTTGTTCGATCAAGAAGTTTCTTCATCTGAGAATGTACAAGAAATACAGGGAAACCTGAAGGTTATCATTAAAAAGATACCCCTTATTTCCATCGAAGGAGAAGGCTCTCTCAGAATGGATGACAAAGAAAAAGCACAGGCTGAAAAATTTAGTTGTAAGTTTTATGGAGATTTCACTCTTGAGAAGAATCCAACTAACTTCCAAGATGCCATGAAAATTTATTCCACCCTCCCAGTGCGGCTGGGTGAGAACGGGGAGAAGGCCGTACCAGTGAGAGTCTGGCTGTACCCACTGACCAAGCTGGATTCCAAAGCTGCTCAGATGGTGCGTGAGATCAGCACAGCGCTGATCTTTGATGTTCAAATGGCCCTGGAGCAGCTGACAGAACTGGACATGCGATGCAACGACTTGGTAAAGAATCCGAAAGTGAGAACCTTCCCTGAAATGCAGAGGAAAATCCAGCTATTCAAAGATCTGTGCATGCAACACAGACAGATTTTCCAGAAAGAACTAGCAAGAATTCTACCTTCCATTCGTGGAGGTGGAAAAGAGGAAGGGATCCTGGTGGATATTTTAACCTACAAAAACCAGTCACCATTCAATACCCAGCAGCTCAATGAATTTCTGAATAAAAAAGAACGAGAAATGAATTTTGTCAGTTCCTATCTTTCTATCCTAAGGGATGTGGAAGTGGTGTCCTCCCAGAACAAACTGGATGAAATAGTTCTGGATCCTGCGAATGAGTTTGTCGTAGCCTTTGTGTTCACTTCACTAGATGTACAAGAACCATATTTATCAGAGTTAAGGTTCTGCCTTCAGACCCAGTTTCTGAAGAATTCCCAAGATCCTGCATCAGCCAGTTCTGTTCGTGAGAAACCCAAACTGTGGTTTGAGGACAAAGAAAGAAACCGAAATGCCCGAAAAGCTGGTCAGACTTTACTTGCGTGAATAAATCTAATGGGAAGACTCGATTCATTGTGGCCTCTGTCCCAGATGAACACAACCCAGGAGTTTCAGTTTACCTCTATGAAAATGTAGACTTGGTCAGCGCTAACTATGAACTTCCCTCAAAACCACTTCCTCTTCTGATTGGTGGAGTCAGACATGACTGTGTGCAGCTCACGCTGAAACCGGCAGCCTTTGGATTTAAGGAAATATCCAGCTATAGTGTAGAGCACAGGATTGTAGGGCAGGAGAATTGGACAGCTGTGGGTACAAACAGTAACCAGGAGACCTTCACAGTAACAGGGCTCCATCCAAACACCGTGTATGAGTTTCAATACGCAGCAGTGAGCAAACCAGGGCGAAGTGTGAGCAGTGACGTGAGTGATCCTGTGAAGACGCTACCCACCAGCCCGCCTGGAAAGCCAAAAAAAACCATAGTAGAATCATCAGCCATCACCCTCTCCTGGGAGAGTCCACGTGTCATTGGCGATGGAGTCAGTATAAGCGAGTACAAGGTAGAATATAAAGAGGAAACCGGGGGTGAGCAGAAGGACAAATGGCTGGAGCGAAGGACAGAAGAGAGAACCGAGTCCTGCACCATTGATGGACTGAGGCCACAGACGCCCTACAGATTCCGGGTGTCGGCCGTGTGTGCGGACGGGGCTGTGAGTGACCCAGGGGAGGAGGTCTCAATTACAACAGCAGGCGAGGAATTAAAGACACTAGCACAAGATTTCTACAAGAAGAGCACTCAGATAGAAGAAGGGCAACCCTCAGTGTATGCACTGCCCATAGTGTTTGATTCTAATGCAGCACACCCAAAGTACAGGCTGGGGAGGGAGACCCTGCAGATCCCTAACAAAGTGATTATGGTGATGGGAGCTACCGGGTCGGGGAAAACGACTCTCATCAACGGGATGGTCAACTACGTCCTGGGTGTGCAATGGAAGGATGAATTCAGGTTCAAGCTCATCCATGAGACAACAAACAGAAGCCAGGCTGAGAGCCAGACATCTGAGGTGACGGCCTATGAAGTTAATCACACAAAGGGTTTCCAAGTCCCCTACTCTCTGACTATCATAGACACGCCGGGATTTGGCGACACCAGAGGGATAGATCATGACAAAGAGATAATAAGGAAAGTCCAAGGGTTCTTTTCCACCCCAGGGGCCATTGATCACATCGACGCCGTCTGCTTTGTGGTTCAGGCCTCACTAGCTCGTCTGACCCACGCCCAGAAGTACGTGTTTGACTCGGTGCTCTCCATTTTTGGGAAGGACATAAAAGACAACATCCAAATCCTGGTCACCTTCGCCGATGGACAGACCCCCCCTGTGCTAGAGGCCATTAAAACAGCCGATGTCCCTTGTGCTAAAGATGCTCAGGGCAACCCTGTTCATTTCAAGTTCAATAACTCCACCCTCTTTGCCTGTAACGCTACAGCTGACGAGGGCAGTTGTAATTTTGATGAAATGTTCTGGAGAATGGGAGCCATGAGCATGAAGACATTTTTTGGGGCTTTATTGAAACTGAAAAGCAGAAGTCTGACATTAACACAGGAGGTTCTCAGGGAGCGGAAGGAGCTGGAGGTGGCCGTGGAAGGGCTGCAGCCCCAAATCAAAGCCGGCCTGGTGAAGCTGGAAGAACTGCGGAAGACACAGGAAGCTCTGGAGCAGCATAAGGGTGACATGGAGGCCAATAAAGACTTTGAGTATGAGGTGGAGAAAACAGTGCCAGAGCAAATAGACATCTCTGGGACAGGTGCTTATATAACCAACTGCCAGCGGTGTTTCTTTACATGTCACTATCCCTGTGGAATCCCTAATGATGATAGCAAGCGTGGGTGTACAGCAATAAACAGCGATACAGGATGTTGCATGGTGTGCCCTGGGAACTGTGTCTGGGATGTTCATTACAATCAAAAGTACCGGTGGGAATACATACTAAAGAAAGAGAGACAGACCTATGCACAACTGAAGGAGAAGTATGAGAAGGCGTCTGGGGAGGTGCTGTCCACACAGAGCGTGGTTGAGAAGTTGTCTCAGGAATACGCTGCAGTGGAACAGATATTAATGGATCTTATTGATAAATCGTCTCGCAGCCTCCAACGTCTGCAAGAAATCGCTCTGAAACCCAACCCACTGTCCACCCCGGAATACATTGACCTGCTGATCATGTCGGAGCAACAGGAACTGAAGCCTGGGTACCAGGAAAGAATAAAATCACTGAAGGAAGTGAGGGAGGTAGCTGAGATAATAAGAAAGATTGCCAATAGGGAGTCCCTGCTGCCAGGCGAGAAGGATGTGTACAAGAAGCACGAAGAAAAACGGTCTTCATTCAAAACATTTGTGAAAGGAAAACTGGATCTCGTTAAAAGCTGGTTTCATTAAAAACATTTTCAGCTTCCCCATGAAAACCTAATAGCCAGTTTAACCAAAGCATGTAGCTTCGCCGTGATCCAGGACTAGGGTCTCTTGCTGGTTTTATATCATTTTCTATTAATAATCAGTAGCCCTGATTCTTCTCACTTACCCCACTTTTTATTCCACTGACTTCAGTTCGCACCAGTGTTTCTAACAGCAGAATCTGGTCTTTGGGATTTGGGGAGGGAAAGTCGGCACCAGTGACAGAAACAGCATTTCTCTATTCTTTCAGCAATGCGCATTTCATACCCATTGTAGCTAAATGGGCTTTATTTGTTGCCCTGTGTATCCACATGCAGTGTGTTCTACTCCATTCCCCGTGTGTTCATGTATTATGAGTTTTTATTAAATCATGTAGCTGTAGTTTTGTAGTTTAATAAAACAAGATTTGATTTGGATCAGGCATTTGTGTCTGTCTTTTCCAGAGTTCAGTCTAACACCAAACCCCCAGGTGGGAGACCCGCCCTCCCCGCTCCAGACCTCACTAAACCCCTCCTGCACTCAGATCCGGTGTTTGATTGCTTATTATTTTTGGTAGGGATGTGAACAGGTTAACCAGTTACCCATAAGCATTGTGTCAATGTCGTCTGTCAGGGGTTTTGGGTTTGTCCTGTTGTGCTCCTGAGAGGACTTCTACTCAATCGGTGATGATAAACTTTCAGCTGCGTGCATGTGTGTGTGTAATCCCTTTATCTAAAATGGTAAGATTCCGTGCACTTGGGGCAACACAGGAGATCTCTGAGGGTATGTCTACAATACAAAGTTAATTCGAACTAACGGACGTTAGTTCGAATTAACTTTGATAGGCGCTACACAAGCGCTCCGCTAGTTCGAACTTAATTCGAACTAGCGGAACGCTTAGTTCGAACTAGGAAAACCTCATTCTACGAGGACTAAGCCTAGTTCGAACTTACTAGTTCGAATTATGGGGTGTGTAACCCCTTAATTCGAACTAGTGGGAGGCTAGCCCTCCCCAGGTTTCCCTGGTGGCCACTCTGGCCAACGCCAGGGAAACTCTATTGTCCCCCTCCTGGCCCCGGACCCCTTAAAGGGGCACGGGCTGGCTACGGTGCCCGTGCCAGGTGCAAGCCTGCCAGCACCCAGCT